AGCATTCTGAAAAGCATAAAAATTCAGTATTATCTTCGGTCACAAGATTTTAAGCAATTTGAAAGGGAAAAAATAGTTTAATTATCGATTAACAACAATATTATTGTAAGGTTTTGCTCGTGGACTACGGCAACGAGTTACAACGATGCAAATGACACTGATCCAAATCACAAAAGCGATCATTGCTACTAATAACCATAATGCCCACCAGGCACGTCGATATGCTGATAACTGTAATGCAAAGCTTTACAATTACAATAGGATTCATTACCTTTTTTCTAGGATTCTTATTTCTCAAATATATTATTTCAATTATTTTTGCTTGGTACAATTTTTTACTCAATATGAAATTTGATTAACTTTTAAACTATAAGAGTTTCGAAAGAAATCATTAAAAGTATGGAATTTTTCTAATAGTTAATGAAATTTCAAGTAAAAAATTATTTGTACTTGTAATCGTTCTTCATCCGTTAATTCTTCGCTCAGTACTGGTAAGCCTTTTTCATGTAGTGCAAATTTTTCTAGAAATATCGTTTCTTTATTCCAAAAATTTGTTATTGGCCAATGTAAGCTACCAGTAGCTTTCCTACAATTATATTCTTCATATTCTAATTCATTATCGCTAATTTTTAAATTTTATAAATATTTGCCAGTCAAAAATTTGCATTTCATTAGTTAAAGTTTCGGAGATCGAATTGTGTGTTTTTAATAAACTTTGAAATTGTTGATTTTGATACCAAAAGCTACTACAAGCTTCTACTGAATTTTCAAATGTCAAGTAGGCACTGTGAATAAAAGTTTTTAAAAATTTGCGTATTTAATTTCTACTGCAATGTTTTTTGAATCTTTTATCCATTCCAAATCACTTACTGACCAAAGTCAACTTTTTCAAAAGTTATTCACAAATGCATAAATATTTCAACTTTTATGCAAATTGGACCTGAGAGGAAGGTCAAGAATTGCGTATTCAGAGGATTCATTAGTAAATGGTTTCCATTTGAAACCACTCAATGCAGTTGGTGTGGGCTGCCTGAATTTCAGATTTGAAAAATGTAATATAATAAAATGGCATGCAATTTCAAAATTATAAAATCCGAAAAGGATAGTTATGATGTACTGATACGGTGGGATCTGACCTAGTCCGGCTTGACCTGATTCTATCTTGATTATCTCAACTTGTAACTTTTAATTTT